GAAATTGACGCGAAGCAAAAATTTATTTCTCTTTAAGACATTTCGCGCGACGCACACGTGATGTGTGTGTGTGTGAGTGTGTTTTTTTTATTAACTCACCTATGCAGTGAGATACAGAAAATTTGTTATTGCGCGAAAAGACGGAAATAAAGTCGAACTGAGATGCGAAATGAGGGAGGCGAGCGCGCACAGAGGAAACAAGAGAAAAACGTCTGCAAAAGTCAGCTCTTATTCGCGCGATTATACTCCGAGGTAATATTCAGACACTTCTCACGCGGAGAGAATAATTTATTTTCTTTCTCTCCCGTTTGCCATTTCTATACTACAAAAACTACGGATCTTTTAAACAAGCCACAACGTGATCGAAACAATTTTAAAGCCCGTCGTCGGGCCGCCACGTGACAGTCGCGCTATCGAACGCGCGCGACCGGATCGCGCCGAAATCCGAAACACGCTCCACGGGGGAGCGTTCTTTACACGCTACCAAAAGGGTAAAGAAACAAGCGAGCGCGCGTTTACTTACATTGTTTGCTCTTCTCGGCGACGACGACGTTGGCCGACAGCAGTCCGAGGGAAGCGACGATCATCGTTATTAGCAGGCGATGAGCGCGCGTCGTCCTCCGCCGCCACGGCGGTACGGTCATTCCCCAGGACATCGCCGACATGTCCGGGCGCGTGTTCGCCGGCGCGCCTCACCACTCGCGGGCGAACCGGCTTCTTCTCTTCCGCGTACTCACCGCCGCACCCGCGCCACCGCGATACATAACCTCGCGAGACGCGGCGATGCGGCGCGACGGGTACGCGCGATCCTCCGCTCGTTCGCGCGCCGCCCAAGGCGGCACGGCACGACGCGCCGCGACACTACTGCTCTTATATATCTCGGAAGCGAGGGACCGATCGGCACGCACCGAGATCGGACACCGTCCGGTCGCGGCTTTATATCTGATGCGAGCTATATCCGCGGACGACGGTGTTCGTTTCGTGAACGCGCGGACGTAATTGACATTCGGCTCGACGCTCGGCCGACTTTAATGCGATGACACACGGATTCGCGCGTGACTCGACGCACTTCGACGATGATGTACCGACGACGATGACGACAATGACGACGACGACGACGACGACGACGACGATCGCCGACCGTCTCTCACGGTTTTCGCGCACTACCGTCGCGCCGCTATCGATCCGTTGCCGCCGCCGAATGAACGAACACCCTTTTCGCCACCCCCTCGCGACACCGCGAACAAGCACCCTCGTCGGCATACCGCCATCTTGCCACGCGTGCGCCGCACCTGTTCGAACTCGGACACTCGAGCGCGGATGTGAGATCGAGGGACGCGCGGTTTTTTGGGGGCGGGAAGGGGGGGGGGAAATACACAGGGAGTATAGATGGGTTACATCGAGATGTTGGTCTTCTTGGGGGGTTGTTTGCGCAGATAGAAGAAACATAGACGCGCGGGGACGCGAAAAGAGAGAGAGAGAGAGTCTCGGAAATCCTCTTGAGATTTTAACGCGACGTCGCGCGAGATGTAACTTACCTTTCGAGATCGTACTCTTCGCACTCGAACGAAGAACGTGACTTTCATAGAAATGATTTACTTAGAAATAAGCCGGTCTCTTCCCTCCCCTTCCGAATGTTTCCAGTTCCTCGCGTTCTTCCGGCCGGCTCTCACGTTTTTATTTTCCCGCGACTGTTTGATAGAAATATTATATCCTGTTTGTTTTTTGTTCCTTCTCACGCGAGAATAAACAAAGCACACGGAAAAAAACAAACAAACAAATAAAACAAATTACTAATTAACTTTTATTTGCTTTTAATTTACAAAACGTGAAATATCCTCTTATCGCACAAATGCACATAAATATGCAATAATATTTAAGTTAAGTTTTTAATATAAAAAATAGTTTTTAATATTAAAAAATTCTTTCTTCAAGCACGCATATTATTGTTTTTGTTGCCGTCGAAATGGGAGTACGTCGAAGAGATTTCTCGTCGGTAAATTTGTGTATTTTCATGACCTAAAAATAGAAATTTTTATTTATCGTGCGTAGAAAAAAAAAAAAAAAAAAATCTGGCGCATCAAAGGCTGAGATAAAGTATGTGAAAAATGCGGAATGTGTAAGATAGCAATGTTGGCGCGACGAAAAAATGCGCGGACCTATCTGATAGAATGCACGAGGAATTTCCCGGTGCGGCAAGTCCAAGTCCAAGTTTCGCACGACAGATCGCAGTAAAAAAAAACAAAAACAAAAAAAAGTAGCACTCCGATCATCGTCAAAGCTGCGTTAATGAGAGAGTTGCCAATCCGCTATCTGTGCATTGTACATTATCTCGTACACGTACCCTACCACGATACGATCGCATCGAAGCAACAATTCCAACATGCGAGCTATCGAGCGAATAAACTAAACGGGAAAAATTCATTCACCGTTTCAAAAAAAAAAAAAAAAACAGAAGGAAAAACAAAAAATACATTCGTGTCGTTTGATGTTATTATTCAACGACTCTACGTGGTGTTAATTTCAAACTCGCGCGTGCGGATATTTAATTGCGACTCTTCTCCTTTTCTCGACCGCGAAACGCGCATCCGCGTTCACGACGAATGCGAAGCGGTCGATCTAATTCGCGTTATCGCTGCAAAAATAATCGATATTGCGATCTCCCTGCCTGATAAGGCAAGGTCAGCCTTAATCGGAATTACGAGGTAAACCGCGTATACACCGGCTGGCGTAAAATATTTCCACGTCTTTAGTTAGAACCGCGAATGTGAACGGCGAATGAAAATTAATTTTTTTTATTTTTTTTATCACGCCTTGTCATGAAATTCCAACTGATGTGCGGGGACAAATGTTCGCGCAACATTCGTTTCGGCAAGCGTGCGTAACAATAAAACAACAAATTCGGCGTTTGCATTCGCCGGTTATTGTGATTTCGCTGCCGAATCGGCTCTCCGGAGACGTGTGAATTATAAACAACACGCACCGCGCACCCCCCTGCTATTCAAATATTCTCTCTGCGGACTTGTTTTAGATAATTCAACAGAATGTCAAGAAGAGCGCTACATAACAAATCGTCCGTATAATACACAACTATATATATATATATATATATATATGTATATATTATTTTATGCGCTTATACTTGTCACAAGCGCGTGGGAATTTCCGTGGGTTTAAACATTCGCGCGGTCTCTTCTTCTTAATTTGAATGTCACCGCTCGCGTTGAAATATTTAATTGCGCACATTTCGTAAATACGCGAGAGATACTCGTATCTCTCGCAAAAGTTTCGGTCGCGCGATCTCGGCGGCGCGTGTTATCGCCGCTCGATCTCGACCGCGATGCATCCGTTACACCTGATAGCGAGCACAGCGCGCGCGCGCGCTCGGCCGCGTTGATAACGTTATCGATGATGCGCGATCATTTTTCTCCCTCGATCAAGGCCTGTCGACGTCACACTGATGAATATTCCCCGATTAAATGGCGTCCGAAAATTCTGTCCCTTTGACCGATCGCCCGGTCGCGGTCAGATCGACCGAACTTTGACCGTAAAAATCCCTCGCCCAAAACGAAAATCAGCATGTAGTCTCGAATACTCTGTATACACATTAATGGCTCGGTACCCCATCAATCGTACCCCTAGACCACAGGCTGACTAACTCTACGACGCTCTATTAGAAAAGACAATCCGCGCCGCAACGGACGATCTACCGATAGCGCTGCCGTGTCGGCAGTAGCGTTTTATCTTCCGTAGCGCGCTTCCGCGAGGACACGTCGCGTTTCGCACATTTTTTTTAACGTCTTGTATGCACAAAGAAAGATCAGTTTGCGACGATTCGTTGTCAAGATGCTGCGACTCCGAAGATCGTCTCGCTGGTAATTGATTGGTTTTTTTTTTTTTTAGTGTTCAAAAAACACAGAATCAGCTCGAGATTCGCGACATTGCACGCTTCCTGTTTTTTTTTTTTTTTTACGCACCGGGATTTCCGAGTGATAACTAAAAGTGATCGCGGCAGCTGTGATCGATAATTAGACACTTGCGTTTATGTTAATTAAGCGCAGCGAAGCTTATCTCGACGTCCGTCGAGAGTAATTTATTAAAGAGAAAAAGAAAGAGAGAGGGAGAGAGAGAGAGAGAGAAAAAAAAGACGCCGGAAGGAAGCCATTACCTGTTATCTTGAGATAACTGGATTCGCTAAAAATACACGCTTTACGTGTGATGTTAATTAAGCGAGTTCTTGATTGATCTTAACGCGCTAAAATAATTATTCTAATTTTTTACAACAGAAAATCGCAACAAAATCTCTAAATGACTATTCGTCGCGTTTCTTTCGTCCTTTCGGCGCGCAAGGCTCTCTTTCGGAGAGAGCTTTCAGCCTGTTCGGCAACATCGCGACTCTCGATTATACAAAAAAAACCGATACATGTGTATACAATACATACACACGTATGTATGTATATATTCGCAACGCGGTTGAAATTATCACGGTACACACGGGTCAGCGAGTTATCGTGAATACATGGAAGCCTCGCGGACGCGTTGTTTCGTGTCAGTCGGCAAGAATCAACGCGATCAAGCGCACACGAGCTTTGCACGAGCGCGAGTTCACGTCGAGTGACGTGAAGAAATAATAAACGTGTTTCTCGTACGAGAGAGAGAAAGAGAGAGAGACTGAGAGAGAGAGAGAGAGGTAAAATAGCAAGTTCACGTGTTGTGCGTGATTGCGCGAGAACCTCGTATACAGAAACTCGAAACACTTCGACCGCCCGAGTCCTTCGCGGTTCGTAACCGAAGAGCGATGACGAATCGGCGTATTGATCGGTAGTATAATATAGATCCGTTCACAAGGTCTACGTTCTCCACAATATATCAATATATTACGTGTTACGCGAATTTCTTCCTTACGCGTACGCGTTCTCGGAGCGGTGTGCTCTCAGTTAGGGCGAAATGGGCGGGACATTAACAGTCAATCGAAAAGAAAATAGACTCGCTGGTAAGTCACGAGAAATGTGGTTTTAACTTTCTAGTCGAAAGCCAGAGGGAGAGTATCGTCTGAGAAAAAGAAGTAACTCGAGTCTCTCTCTCTCTCTCTCTCTCTCTCTCTCTATCTGTCTCGTTTTCCTTGTCTGTATCGAACAGCGAGCCGCCGAAATGAGCTTATTCGCGATTCCGTGCTGTTTACTCAGCCTGAAGTAACTCGTTGGAAACACGTCGTCGCGCGTCGGTCGCGAGGAAGAGACGTATAATTGTTGTCGCGCTTTGTAAAAGTGGGCAGAGATATTTTCTGGCGTGCGTGAGGAGATAGCGATTTTTACTACCGATTGATTATTATACGTACGCGGCGAAGAAGTTTCGCGCGCGCGCGGATAATTGCGCGATCGTTACAGATCGCGGAGAACGAGGAAAGGAATAAAAGAAAAAAAAAAAGAGGAAATTAACCGCAGAAACCGCAACGCAAATGCCCGTCGTCGCCGATGCCCGACGACGACGGAGCCGAGCTGGCGGAGGTGTGCGAGAGTGGGAAATGAGGGATTATTAAATTAGAGTAACCATGACGACCGGTGGTCAAGGAAATGGGTGAGACCGCGGACAGTCGAAGAGCGACGAAGCCGGACGACGCGTTTAAAAGGCTATCAATTGGCGGCGGTTTTTGTGATCGCGACGAAATATGACACGCGGCGACGAAGTTAGCAGTCCGAGGAACGCGATCTCAGTCCGGGAAATGTGACGACGATCACGCGCGCCGATCGGGACGCAGTGTGGCCGCTTACGCGCGACGAGGAAGAGAGTCCCGTCTCGATTTTTGTTCTCGAAACGAAATCGACTCTTCCCCGACGACTGTCGCGCGTGTTTGTTTAATTTTAAACCGAACGTCGAGTGTCGTCGCGAGCACATCAGTCGGAGAGAGATTGATGTGAGTAGAGCGATCGCGATCGCGATGGAATTAGTGGAGAGAGCGATACTGTTGAATCTGCCCTTCCTGACATGTGTGTAACTGTGACTTATCTTTTTGAGTTTCCCCGCACATTCTTTTCTCACTCTCTCTCAGTGTATAAACTAGTAAAACAGAGAAGAGAAAACTACGTACGGAGTAGTTTTTTTTTTTTTTTTTTTTTTTTTCATGTAGTTCTTTTTCTGTAAAAGAAAGAAGAAGAAGAGACCGGAGAGCGCAACGAATGTAAAATTTACAGTTGTATTATCACGGTTAAACACGTTTGCGCGCTATTAAATTTTGAAGTGCGGGAAACGTTGCGTACGAGATTTCTGACGAGAATTTCACATCGTTTGTTCAGCACCTCATATTCAACACTAAGCGCGTGCTTAACGTGTAAAGGATATAAGGTAGTTGAAACTTTGCGCGAGCGCTTCCAACTGTAAAGACGGCGGTGGTACACACACTCGCCAGTTTCCGCGATTCATGAGAGATTTACCGTTTGACGTTTTAACACTTCGCAGACTTTGCTTGCGTTTACACACGCCGCATATTAGTTAAAACTCGTTACGCTTAATTTATTCCTTTTTAATTACTCACACATTGTGTATCTCTGATTAATTTATTAATTCATCGCACTCTTGTAATCATCGTGTAATACAAAAAAAAAGACAGAGTCTTTTCTATCTCGAGTATCGTCGAATTTTTTTTTTGAACGTGTTTTGCAGAGACGAGACGCGAATTTCCGTCGACAAGAATCGCGCGCGAGTTTTGTCATTGACAAATTGAGACGCGTTGGAATTTATTATCGGAAAAATCCGAGATATATATATATATATATATATATAGCGCGGAATTCATCATGCGCGAATTTCGCGCGCGAAACGAAATAAGCGCGCGAAATTCGCTTTCAACGCGCGGAGAAATTACGCGAGATTCGGAGCAATTCTCCCGAGCGAAACTCGATTTCTTTCCGCACGTCAATCCGCACGTCCGCCGTCCGGGGGGTTCTTTCTTTGCAGGCGGGATTTTCAACGCGGTAAAATCTGCACGCGCGCCACGTCGATTGGAAAACGTCAAGGATCGCCGAGCGATGTTCCATCTGGACGGAAGAAACGGCGGCACCAACACCGACGTCGTCGTCGCCGCGACGAAATACGACGACTCGTCCACGTCGTCGTCAAACGAAGAAGAGAATTTCGACTGGTGGCTGATGAACGATCGGGAAATCACGGTATCGTCGAGATCGCGTCGCCGACGGACGGTCCATCGATCATCGTCGAACGACAGGCGCAGTTTCGCGCGAAACGCGTCGAAACGGGAGCCCGAGAGCGGAATCAGCGAGGAACTCGAGCTCGGCTCGCTCACGCGGGATAACGATCTGGATATCGATCTGATCGAGAAGGACGCCGTTGAAACGGTGGGTATGGGGGCGGGGGAACGGAAGCTTTTCTTTTTTTCTTTTTCTTTTTTTTTTTTTTATCACCACAGAGTGTACCGCAATGTTAAACTTACCAAAGTTCCTCCTTCCGGAGGAAGTTCTTCGGTGGGGAATTCAAAGCCGTGCGCGAACACGTGGTTGCACTTTACGTGCGAAACATTTGTGGAACTTCCTCACGGCGATGCAAAAATTTGTGACATTTGTTTGCACGGCCGCTCTTTCACTATACGTGCGTAGCGTAAACTAATAATCATGTCGCCCGAGTTCGACGGTCGAGAGAGACGGTCACACACACATTTGGCGTTCTTTTTTCTTTATCTTTGCATATCGTAATTCTGTTGATAAACCAACCGTATCGCGCGCGCTTAATTGCAATCAATTCGATTATCGTATCGCGAGATAGTTCGGTTAATTAAATAATTTAAGTAAATAAGCGTGTAAAAAATCTGATTTCGCGCGGATCGAATCGATGCGTTACTTTGTACGCGGCGGCAAACAGCACCACTGCGGTTTTTTGCTTCGTTTCACAAAAACAGGAGTAACTTCTCGCACAACTTTCCGCGATAAGAAATGTCTTCTTGCGTGTTTCGTAAATTTTTTACACCAACGTGTTTTCGTCGCTCGTAGAACGACGTTTGTTGTTGCCGCGCGGATTTTCAGAGAGCTCCGGGTCTCTCTCCGGAGTGAGACCTGAGAACGGCACGGAGAGAGACACGACGCTAATAAATAATTCCGTGCGACACGCAGAGCGATTTGCCCGCGACCGACAGCAGCGAGGGCAGCATCCGGGAAGAATCCGAGACCAGAGCCGCCTGCTACACACCCGAGAGGCTGATCAGGTCCCAGAAATACCGGATACTCGTGCCGTCGCCCCGATGTTTTATCTTCCCGAGATTCGTGGCGGAGAACGGGAGCGGAGAGCGGAGGTTTCGCCATTGTCGGAAACGGTTGAGCTGCCTCATCGATTCCAAGCAAATTGGTATAATCTGAGTTTTTCATCATCTTCCTCTTCTGTTTTCTTTTTTTTTTGTCGCCGATGATCGCAACGTTTTCTTTCTTAAACTTGCATGTGTGTGTGTGTGTATGAGCGCGCGCGCGCTGAGCCAAGCTCGACTTCCTCCATCTCCTTCCTCGGTCCCACGGTAGCACCTGACCTAATAAAGTTTCGCGGTTTACCAATGCGCGGGAATCGAGTTGCTTGACGTATCGCGATTTACTTCGTTTCCTCTTCCCCCGGCGAGCTTTGTGCGAAAGACGCCGAGTAGCGTGAGACTGCAAAACTGCCACGAGCATTGTTGGGCGGGCGCGCGCGCTAACGGCCGGAGGGGTCACGTTCTCGATGAGAGGGTCCATGCGCGGGGGAGGATGTGAGGAAAGCTAACAGAACCCCGAGATTCAAGCGATGACCCGAATCGAAAATGTTTTATCCCCTGCACGTGAACGTGTATAAATTGATGATAAAAATCATGACAAAAAATATTTATATAAAATATATGTGTATATTAATTTATATAAAATATTTATACAAAATATTTATATAAAATAAAATACATTTAAATTTTACTTGCAAGTTTTCACAATATAATTTTCGATATTGCTTCTTGTAACAATTTTGTTGTATTTTTTACACTTCCTCGTAACAAGAGCGTAAATTGCCCGTGTATATTTTTGAACGCAGGTGCCACGCAGCTGAAGATGCTCCTGAACTTACCGATCGCGGATGCGAGAACGCGCGCGGTCTCCTCGCCGATTTTCGGACAGGAGCGATGCAACGTCGTCGGTGATTGCAACGACAACAAACCGTCGAACGATGATCTTCATCTGGGCGACAAGAGCGCGCGAACGATCAGCAGTAGATCGAGTTACGACATATTGAACTCTACCTGGGACTACGATTGCAAAGGTCTCACCGTCCGTCCACCTTCCCTGGACGACACCTCCGGCATACAGAGCACCGATTGGAGCCTGGAGACGCAGAGCGACACGCGTAACACGCCAATGTGTCTCTGCGACGAGCTGGCGGTTGCGTTGGATCGAGGGACCGCCATCAACAACAAAGTAGCGTCTATTCTTGAGAGCCTGCGGAGCGATCCCGAAAACGCGACGGCGCTTTCAAAAAATGAGGACCGATTCCGCAATGAAATTCCGTCCTTTCACGATCAGTTAACGAGACTGACCATAGAAACGAACGGGACGACGGTTTCCGACGATGCGAATAATTGGTTGCACCGTCTTCGCGATAAAATAAAACGGCTGCGGCTCGCCAACAAAGAGATCCACCGAGATATACGCGATTTGTGTACAGACTTTCAGGTAAATCAGTTGCGAAAGTGGTTCTGTATATTATTATTATTTTTTTTTTTTTCTAGAAAGAACATGTAAAACTTTACCGACAACATTGAGTTTAATTGCAAGTTTTTTAATTGATGTGAAATTATAGCGCGACGAAGAAAAAACGATGAATTTGTCGAACAGTGCGAGGCATCTGCTGCAGGACGTCTGCGAGTTGCGGTATCTCGACGATCTGTTGAAGCTCTTGAAGGGAGAACCTGACAGAATCTCCAAGAGAAATTGGCCGTTTGTTCTGAGACACAGCGAACCTCACGAAGAGTTGAATCTAATCATCTAATTACATGTGTCAAAGATCACTGCAGATTTGAAGAATTTGTGATCGTACGGTCTCTCCAAGGTCGTTGTGAACAAATACTCAAAGTTTCTTTTTTTCGCGATTTCTACAAGTGTACGTACTTACAGCAGAACGCAATTGTTCTTGCAAATCGGTTTCAAAATGTTTCTAAAGCAAGTGAAATCGGACCTGATTTCTTGTCAAAAATATATTGATGTACTTTGTGATACTTTATCGGGCAAGAGTAAAAAATCTCGTACATCATCATATACATGATATAATCACGCTCACGATAAAAACACCGCATTTTATAACACACTCCGATTACACTTACGTAATATCCGCGCGTGTGTTTCTTCTACAAAAAAGTTTAATAAATCTTTTTTTAATACGCGAGGTATCGAAACTTAGAATCTCGCATTTATTTACATGTCTAGTCTAGAAAAACCAGGACACTTTTTTTTTTATTGCTAAACCAATTTATTATTTATACATTGTATATATATATACAGGGTGTCCCAGAATTGCCGTACAATCTCTCGTAGGCAGGTAGAAGAAGTAAAACTGAGTCGAAAAGTCCTGGATCATTTTTTTCTATTATTTATAATAAAGGAGTAATTATTGAGTAAATCAGGCCAATCAGCGCAGACCTTTAGCCATACGCACGTCAGTGAGCGCTCACACACACGAGGCGCGCGGCCCACTGACGTGCGTCTGGCTAAAGGTCTGCGCTGNCTGCGCTGATTGGCCTGATTTACTCAATAATTACTCCTTTATTATAAATAATAGAAAAAAATGGTTCAGGACTTTTCGACTCAGTTTTACTCCTTCTACCTGCCTACGAGAGATTGTACGGCAATTCTGGGACACCCTGTATATATATGTGTGTGTATATATATATGTATATCTAGACTATATTTAAGTCTATTGTACACATAGCACCGAGTAAAAAATTTCTAATAAAACAACACATCGTTGATCTACATTCATCGTTACATCGTTTTTAATGCGTTTTTTATATGTTCGCTTTTTAATGTACATGTAACTGCCATATCGCGTTAAGATAGCCATGTGTTTTACAAGCCAACTCAAATTTTATATTCTACACTTCGCAAAGTCTAACCGGTGTTTTCCGCTAATGTGCCATTGTCTTCACAGTTCGTCGTTTGATATCGGGGAACGGTCTCTCTCGCGCGTCGCGATAATTAAGTAACGTCGGTGCGTTGCATGTGTCTGGCGTGTTGCCGCGAGGAATCGTGATAGGCAATTCCGGCGCGCAGCATCTCGCCGTGTCGGAACACGTCGTGGGACGCGGAGAAGGACGGCAGGGTGGGCAGCGACGGCAGAAGACAGCTCAGCATACTGGCGCCGCCGTCCGAGGAGTAGATCCCGTTAGCCGGCGGCGGCACCATGGACGTGCTGCACGTGGTCGAGACGGATCCCGGCAACGTGTGACCGTTTTGATCGCCAGAACTCAACAGGCTCGAGCCCGGACCCATCAGGTTGCCTATGGATGCGTAAAAAGACATGCGATTGCAAAGACAATGAAAGTGTTCACAATTTTGTTTATAAAAAGTGCACTTTGTAATTACAAAATTGATAACACAAAAGAAAAACATTTTAGAAATGTTTTTATTATAAAAAAATATTTGCCAGTGTTGTTGCATTAATCGATTAAAAAACAAAAAAGAACAAAAACACAGTTTGTGTATTTTATAAATAATATTATAAAAATGTCCTCTTATGATATTATACATATATTTTATTACGTGAAATCACGACAATGTGAGTTATTGCGTGTAATTTTACTCTAGCGTGTGTGAGATTGCCGATAGTTTCGGTTTCGAAACAAACATTTTCAAGCTCCGTACGTATCGCGAGAAGTAATCTATGATAACACAAATGGTAAAATCTCCCATGCGAATATGTTTCAGTCGCACAATCGCGCGCTTTCGTAAAACAATGATAATTATCAGTATTTACAATAGCGCGATGCATGAATTTATACTCGCGTAAAGGCAAAACTTGTTGTAATTTGCGCGAGTATGTGCGCGCGCGCGCGCGCGGACGCCCAGTAATCGCTTTAAAGCGGTAACGTATTTGCTGCACCCCCGCTAATCCTTTGACAATACATCGTCGTAATATGCGTGTAAAGCACGATATTAAAATTTCAACGCCATTGTGTGTATGTTATTTCTATCGCGTTGCGCCGATGACTTGCGATGAGAGTTTATTAGCAACAAATTCAGTCATTCTCACACATATAATTCAGAAAGAAATATCTGGAAAGCACTTTTCCGCGATACAAATGTTTCTCGCGACTTTTGAAGCTTCGGAAATTGAACGTACATTTAAGTGACAAAAATAAAATAAAAAAATTTTTTTTTTTCTATTTGCGTCAACGTGATGATAGACTATAACAAAACTTAGTTCGCTTAGTTCACCTGGAAGACTGACGCTCGACGCGGAACTGACGGACGAAGTGATCGACAAAGGCGTCATCATGGAAAAGTCCGAGGCCTCGGAGGACCTCGCGGCGAGATGTGAGTCCATTCTGGCGGCGGTGGGACGAACGCACGCCAGCGACGACAGGCCGAAATCGCCGGCTCTGTCCGTACCGGTTGCTCGCCGATGCCGCGCGTGAATGCTGGACTTACTGCTGTTGCCCAAACCGAAATGCAGAAGCTCCAAGTGTCTTCTGAGATTTCTCGATTGGCGCAGGATTGCGCCGCACAGTGGGCACGACGCCGGCTGATCGGACAGGCTGCGCGACTTCGACAGTCCGTCCCCTGGAACGAATTCCATGAAGGCTGAAGAGAATTCTTGAACGACGTGATCGACGCGATTACATAATTTTTCTCCTTGCCTCAGATCTTCGAATAAACTCTAAGACGCAAATATTTCTCGTTTCTGATAAATACGACAAATAAAATACGTGTGTGTGAAAATGATTTTGCGGATGTAATTGCGAAAACAACGTTGATGCAAAATTAGATTTGTCATGGAGACACAACAACACAGTGTTGTATATTATCACATACTTTATTTGCAAGAAAAGAAAATCAGAATAAATACATCATCATCTTATCTCTTCACGTTAGTATGCTTTGTATATGCACTATTGTCACCAATTTCACGTACACCAGCGGAGCTTGTTGGTACAAAATAGGAATGTGCGCCTGATTATTATTTCACCTTTGGTGGTTTTTGGAAGAGACTTTTCAGGTTTTTCTTGTTTTCATCATTATTGTACCTCTCGTAAAAACAAGTGGTATGTTGTTTTGGAAACGCGATTTAATTAGACCATTTTTTTTTTATCCCGCGCGACGAGCAAATCAGAGGAGCGGTAAAATTCGTACGAGCGGTAGACGTAGTACTCGACGTGTGTAGTACACAGGGTAGAGTTGATGTAGTAACAAGGGATTGCACTGTTGCACGATTATCGCGGCAGCTGACAATAAAAGAATAACGAAAATATCTGACAAAAAACACTTTCTTCTTCACTCTATATTTAAGAATTTGTATCGATTAATCCTACAGTATTCCCTTAAACTCTAGGCGGAAGATTTTTTGTGTCTGGACTTAAATAATACGTATATATGAGTAATTAACGATTCGTATAAATATTACAACTGAAACTATACAAAATAACGTAATGACCTTCAGCTTTTCTTCTCTCCTGAATGCTCATACTCAATAATGTATATAAATCACAAAGTCACAGTTTCGATTATCGCCGTCTCAAGGGCGACAATCGAACGGAATCCGTGAGAAAATCAGCTATAAAAAAACGAACAATCGACAAAATGATTTTGACGACAATGTTCCATGTTGAATCCGTTAAGTCCCTCTCTGTCTTTCTCTTCTCTCTCTCTCTCCCTCCCTCTCTCTCTCTCTTTCTCTCTCTCTTTCTTTCTTTCTTTCTCTCTCTTTCTCTCTTTCTTTCTTTCTTTCTCTCTGTACATTTATCTAGCGACCGTAGGTGACGGGATGCCGCTCGGCGGTGAGACCTCAGACTCGTGCGTCGTCGGCGAGAGCAGGCTCGGTTTGCAGACTATTTGTTCGCAACTGTTACTGCCACTGTCAAGTCCGTAAGTCATTGATTGATCGCCGGACTCGAGCGGTTCACTTTTCACTTCCACATTCGTGTCGGACATTGCTGTTGTTGTCGCAGTCATTGAACTACTTCGATGTTTGCACGACGACAAGAGATGCCTGCGTAGATTTCTCGCCTGACGCAGCGTCGCGCCGCAAAGCGGACAAACACCCGGACAGTCAGACGCGCCGCGCGCTTTTGACTGATTGCCGGCGGCGGCCGCCAAACTGGACAGCGTCAGACCGGACGCGAAGCCGAGGCTGGGAAATTGAGGTATGTGCAGCGACGAAAACGGCTGCACTGGCATCAACGTGTGAAGCTGCGGTTCGCTGTCCGAAACGTGATCCTGATGAGACGCATGATGATTGTCCGCAACGGACGATTCTTGAGATCGCGGCGAGTGACCCCGATGATTGTTCGCGTAGTTTCCCGCCAAGCAGTTACTCGCTGTTAACAGACACAAACACAATGTTACCATACAGGGCTGAACTGACGTTACTTTGGCTTGTTTGCTTGCTTTGTGAATTTATTTCCCTCGCTCACGTTCCCTCATTCTCTCTCGTCCTCTCTTCTCCCTCCCCCATCTCTCCCTCTCTTTCTCTCTCTCTCTCTCCTTTCTCTCTCCCTCTCTCTCTCTCTCTCTCTCTTTCTCTCTCTCTTTCTCTCAGTCGGACGAATTGGAGAACGACCAATCAGAATTGCAGTTCAACCCGATCGATGGTTGTGCTTGTGTCCGTTTTAATTGAAACGAAAAAAAGGACATAGACGTACGGTGTCTCCCGTAGATACATGTACATGTACTTGATACAATTTTATGGTGACTGTTATATATACTGAAAAATAATATACCGGACACAAAACACAAACAGAATTATCGTTAATTTTAAACGTTCAATTATAAATCTTTCACAAATTGTCAAAATGAAATTAAAAAATTGCAATAACGCATACACAAACAAAACAATTTCCTAAAAATGATACAGAAAATTCGTGTTCGACACAAAAATTATGCGTTACGAACCAAAAATGCGTACACAATTTGTTGTTAATTATTTAAAAATCAAAAAAACTTAACCGATCACAATCCGTCGAAAACATGAAAAATCCGTCTCGTTGTCGGATTTTCTCTCTCCTATTTACGATTTAAATTAATTTATCACAAGAATGTTCACAAATTATTATTTACGTTACCTGTATCATCAGTTTGATCTGCAACATCCTCGTCTTTGTTTTCGTAAGAAAGCGTTCTGTTGTTGTCGTCGTCCAAAGGTCTGTTTTCACTGTCGGTGTTAGTATTATTCGGCCATTTTCCGGAAGATGTTGACGATTTCCTCCTCCTTTTTCTCCGTTTCAACGGATAGTAAGAATTGAGCGTTGTCTTCGGCAAACTGTCATTTGCAGCCGGTATCGCGGACGCAGGAACTTCCTCTCCGCTCTAAACAATAATACAATTGTGTATCCATTACATGAAGAAACTTTAAAAAAATTTTTTTTTTTATTGTTTAAGCACTATGCTATTTACTTCTGTTACTATGGTTGGTGGTGTCAATCCATGAATGCACAGACAATGAGCGGCCTGAAGCAGAGAAGGCAACTGAGACGGCTCGACGCTGACTTCTCCCCGATACACAAACTCTAACAATGATTCCAAGTCATCGGCTCCAATTCCCGCCAGCATAACTACAGGATGCTGACATGGTGTGCTCTGGAAACATGTTCATGTTGCAATAAAATTTCATTACATTCTCAAATTACATGATCTCGCACAATAATCGTAAAAATCATAATATACTACCTTTAGCAAATCCAATAGAAACGGACTGGCGGCACAGAGAACAATTTTGTGTGCAGGAAAACTACGGCCACCAGCAGCCAGGGTGACGTCCACTAAGTCGCCGTGTCCTCTTAACACCTGTACCGCAGAAGTCAGAGAGGAACTGAACTCTCCCCAGGATAGACTATAGAGTTGACTGCTGCTACCCATCGTGTATCAAATAATTCACAACTGCAAAATCACATCAACAACACATCAACTTAAATTATTTGTTTAGTGTTCCCCATTTTCTTAATAACAAAATAAAAAAAAAAAACAACAGACGCCAACAGAATACGAAAATACTTGTTTCACGACACACAAAGAACAAATTATTATCTACAAATTTTTTTTTTTTTTTCACTCTGATATAAAAAAACACTCGGCAACATCAATACCTGATAAATAACAATGTGAGCGTGTAATTTGGACAACCAATATTTATCCCGAGGATACTTGAACAACCGGTATACACAAACACTCGATCACCAGTAAAATCTACCGTTAGCGGTAACGACGCGTGTGTGCTGGGTTTCTCTCTCCGTCTCTCTCTCTCTCTCTCTCTCTCCCTCCCCCCTCCCCGAACTACGTCTCTTAATTAGTGCCTCCACCCGATTAAGTGCGATCAAACATCGCGGCGTCGTGCCGCGAGTTAACCTAACAAATCCCCGATCACGTACCTTTCGACAGCGCGAGGGTTTCTTTTGTCACGACGACGATGATATAACGGCAACGACGACGACGACGACGACGACGACCTCGATAATTCCGCAGGCTGACAGCTACGCGTTGCCAGTGTTGAAAATTGGGTTGGAGAAAGTCGCGGTACAGTGGGTCATCTAGGCATAAGTAGCGCGAGTTGGCAGTCGAGCGGCTGCCAGGTCGAGCTTCTACGTGATCGTACCACCGGTTTCGATAGTAGATCGTTCGAACCAGACGACGAGTTTTAGCACGAGAGCATCGCACGGCAACAAAACTCGCGCGGTTTAAACCTTTTTCACGGGATACCAAAAAAAATCGCTCTCACGACACGGGCTACGGCGCGCGACTCGAAAAATGAAGTTCAAACACTTCAAACTCATCGGGGGCGGTCGCGTACGAGAGACGTCGTGCTGTAGTTACAAATATAGAAGGCAAGCAGCGCGTTCTCTCGTGTATGCGCGCTGCGACGACCAATCGAAACTGGCCTTGACTTGGACTCCTGCGAGACGCTCGTCGCAACAAACATGGCGTTGTTCGATGTGTTGTTTCTCGATTGTATCGATCTCTATATCGCATAAAAAGTTGAATCGAAATTTTCTACTACGTATACAAAAACATACGCGCGCACACACACACGCACACATGCACGCACAAAATCGAAAAATACCCTTCCTCTTTTCGTGTGTTTTGATAAAATATTTTTATTCCTCAAACTCTTTCCTCTGGCCACCATTGTAGGCCACCATTGACCTAAATCGAGTCTTTGTTAATAAAACTGCTCAATCCCCTGAGGACCAGGGTCTGATCAGAAGACACGTAAACACGTGATTAGAGTAAAAATTGGCAGTCGATTAAAAAAACATATGTTTTATCTTTCAAATGCCGGCGAAATATGAATAGGTACTTAATCTTGCGCGTCGTGGATATTAGCGCGTGGCAATTAACCGAGCACGCATGCGCTACCACGTACCAATGTGTGACTGACACTTTGCCAACAAATCCGACCTGACGCGCGCCTTATATCTACAACACATAACAACGCTCTGTTGTATATTCGCACCATTGCTCCGGTCAACTCCAGTGTCCAGTCAATTCCAGTGCCTTTCCGGAGTCGGCGGCGCGTTGTTGTTGTGTTCCTGTTGAGTTGCTGCTTGCAATATCCGCTCGTTCGTACGCCTCGCGTTCCTGTCCTCCTCGAAATGTCGTCCGGTAGTTGGGAACTGGTCAGCAGGAAGAAAGATCGAGGAAACGAAAAATCGAAGCCCACAAAGGCCGAGAAAAGAAAATTCATCGAGAACGCGCCGAAAGTCGAGGATTTCCGTGAGTCTCCGTCTTTATGTCTCGTATATAAACTCATTTATTTCATTTCCGTGTGTATATTCGACGATTGTTACGTTGTTCTCGATTCCATCGCGAGATATCGTTAAATGAATAATGAGAGCAACGCGGAGAGGTCTAAATTGAAAATATGTAAAAAAAAAAAAAAAAAACAAAGTTGCAATATGGTGATGGTGACACAATATCGTATATTATTTTTAGTACCTCTGAGTCAAGTGAAGACGCTCTATGACAATCTGGATGGAAATAAGGAGAACAAGAAGCCTGCTAAAGCACAGGCGAAAGAACACAAGACAAAAGAGAACGAGGAGAAGAAGAGACAACAGCAACAAAAACAACAACAGGCCGAAAAGAAAAAACAAGAACCGAAGGAGAAACCTCCAAAAAGTATAAAAGATGCCTTGAATGCGGTAAAAATCTGCTTTTAGAATAGACTCTGCTTCGTTCCACTTATTGCGTATTGCGCTTCGAAAATAAAAGAGTTTTTTTCATTTTTCGCGTTGCACACAGATCAATCCGCAAGAGCTCGATGAACTTCTCGCTACCGCTCAGGTCAGATTTCCCGAAGCTCCTCTGCTCTGGCTGAAGGAACTGAACGCCTTCCTGAATATCAAGATACCCATCAATAAGGAAGACGCAATATTCTCAGGAAAACCCAAGGATTATCCGTTGAGTTTAGTACCCAAAGCAATCTCTTCCATATTGGAACGGGCGGTGGAAATGACGGGCCAACAAACGATACAGATATTTTATGAGAATACTCTTACCGCAATGGCCACCGACATGGTCAAAGGAGTCCCTGTCATCGGTCACAAGATATTTTTGCAGCTGCTGGCGCATTTAAATCCTGACGTGACCGCCGCCAATATTCCCAAACTGATTAGCATAAGAAACTCGTACGAGAACAGAAAGAACATAGGTCTGTCCCTGTTGTGGGCCTGGTCGCAGGCCGGTCAAAAGAAATTGGCGGTTGGTTTGAGGATCTGGCACGAAGTGATGTCGCCTATGCTCGAGACAAAAGCTTACGCGAATTACGTCGTTCAGATTCTGAACGATCTCGTCTTCGGCCACGACAACGTTCACGATCTAAGTGTCGATCTGTACTTGGACATTATCAGGGACACATACTCCCAGAGATTTCAAAACCTCCAACCCGCGAGTCTGGGAAAAATTATTACCGCGAGCATCGATAAATTGAGGGTAAGCGATGCGAATTTCGAACGCGTTGTGCGTTGCATAATCACATTGTGATTGTTTATCTCTTGGCGATAATGAAAAAAAAAAAAATTACAATAAAATGGTATTTTGTTTTGCAGTCGATACTATTTAAAAACAAGGACATAAGTTACACGAAACTGTTCGAAATGTTAATGAGCAAAGTTACACAGAAGTTGGATCCGAATTACAGGTACGAGTTGATCAAGGCTCTCGCCGACTGTCTTGTCACGGAGCCCCTTTGCTTTAATACCTGGAGCACTATTTATATCAAGAACTTGTACCAATCCAATCTCCTTCTGTCGTATATCGGTGAGTATTCGTGTTTATTTTTTTTTCCGCGCCACTTTGAGATTGATTAAGTACTTCTAAAAATTCACATCTTTGCAGATGTGAATACATCAACTTTGCAATCGAAGTTCAAAACCAAACACTTCAAGGAAACTCTCACTTTTATTCAAAACAACAGCGAGAAGTGGAAAAAAGCTAAAGATGAAAACCTTGCGCTCGCGTGCAAAAAAACATGCCAGGTAAGTTTTTTTTTTTTATATTGCACCTTAGTTCTAGAACGAAAAAAAATGTTTAAATACATTTTGCACAATTGTAATAGCGAATCATGTTTCACTTTTTAATTACGATTACGTAATCTAAGAATTTGAAGAAGCTTTTCTGCAATACGCTTATCTGTTTAAAAAAAAATACACAAAAAAATATCCGATGAAAGAATATCTGAAAATAAATGAGGCTTATCAACGTTCTTTATACATATGTATGTTTTTTTTTCTTTATTTATATATAAAACAATCGCATGCACAAGTGAGCAATAAACAGAAGCCTACGTACCGCTTTGTGCGCTACATCAATAAAACATAATATTGCGTGTCGGTCGATTAAAACTGAACTTGCTAATGAGAGCGGGAGAACGTTTATTCTCGTTGGCGAACAACTTTCTAGACAGTTAAATGGAAAAGGTAATTTTTTTCGCGCTACGCGCGTGAAAATGTCTACATTTTCATCGATTGCCACTTTTGCTACAACCGAATAAATTTTTTTCCATTAACTTTCAATTAATTGCTGTGGTTATTCGTTACAAGGAGATAGCCCATTTATTTATAAACGTAAATTCGTTCAATGTGTAATATTTAAACAAATCTTTTATATTTGACAAAATAAATTAATTAAAATTTATCTCAAAAAGAACGAGGATAAAGAAGTTGGAAGTTCAACGATTATTGAAAACAGTGTTTGCGTGAATGGATTTGAATTCCCTCGGACGAGCAATTATGATGACGTTTCTCATACTGATACGGTTTGATAAGGGGCGCGTCACGGCCAACTAAATCGCGCTTCGTGTAACAATGCCATCAATGTCTGGCACGCGAGTCATTCGTCGCTGTTGAACGCGTCGCAGTATCCGTCGGTTTGCGGGGACATATCTAACTGCGCAGCGGCGTTTCCAACACGTTCGATATCAACATTCGATACGCAAAAGTAAATCGAGCCCAGTTTCTTTCTCTTCGAGAGGTTTCGTGTTTCATAACACCGATTGTGTTACGTCGCGTTAACGAGAGTTAACGTCGAATCTATTGTGTGTGATTGACGCATTGAATTTTTTATAAATTGAAATAAATATATATATAATACACAATTCCATATTGTGTCGTGTCGCGTGTGGACCCCCCCCCCTCCCCGTTCTGCTTTCTCTTGTATCGGACCTAACGGTACATCAACGGCATGTCACGCGCACAGAAGAAGGTATCCTTAATTTTATACCTCCGAATACGTGCGGCGTTCTCTCTCTTCTCGCTCGTTTCGCGAGGCGGAGAGCTGCGACAAAAAAAAAAAAAAAAAAAAAAAAAAAAAAAAATATATTGCCGTAAATTCCTAACGGTTATCGGCGTCGCGGATTGTTCCGGAACCGCGCCGTGAAGTCGGTTTCGGACGGTTTCGCTCCCGTTCGGCGGGCGGGCTCGATTCGAAACGATTTCGACGCGCGCGCTCAGGTTAGGTGGCTGTTTTCGGGAGCGTACTTACATACGTCGTACGCGGTTATTGATCGTTGCCCCCGTCGTCGCGCGGGTCTGACGCGCGGAGAGCCAGTGACGACATTGGCACCGTTCGCGCTGATATTTTTCTTTTTTTTTCTCCTCGCACACAGCGTGTCGCGTCGCTTAAATCCGCGAGATCATCCGCTAGGATCAAAAAGTCTCCGATTTTTTTTTCACCCAAGGTAAGATTGACGTTTCGCGCGACGTTTTGCGCGCTCTCGTCTCTTTGCACGTCAAAATCGATCCGCGAGCGCGTGAACAACCGATCGTGTTCTGCGTGTCGCGCCGAAACACGAGAGATCGAGCGAAACTGAACTGTTCCGAGATTCGCGGAAACGTGTGATGACGTGTGTAAATTGTATTTCTAGTTTATATTCGGTGATAAACATTGAAATTTGTGTGTTGTTGTGAGCGATGTGTTGACAAGCACTGACAGAGAGAATTCGCGCGCGCACAGACACAACGCTCGCAAATTGACGACGGAATAAATTTAATTAATCGTGATTAATCGTTATTTTCCGCGCGATCGAACGGGGACTTTCTCGTCTCGAAAACGAAGACTCGACTTGGATCAACAACGTAAAAGAGTTTCGTGTTTTTTTTTTTTGTTTATTTTCAAAAAGAAACAAGAGGAAAAGTATGAAAAAATTTTCTCTCGGATGAAAGAACTTTTTGACCGTTTCTGTGTGACGTCACGGCGACGATCGTCCGTGACGAAGTTTGAAACAAAATTTGGAAATAAAAATTTATGTTACAAACTAAGTTCTGTCGTTATTTTTTCTTTCCAGGTGCTGCAGAAAAAAATGACCTCCTCCAGGAGCCATAGTTTTCCATGGAAATCCATTAGTCTTCTTCTTTTGATATTTATCGGAACTATTGTAGCATATGATACACAGAGACACGGTTCTTTTGAAGGTAAGAAGATTTTGCAAACAATTTCCAAGTCATTTTAATAATTTCATTTGCTACTAATCCTACAATCATGCTTACAATCATCTTGCTCTGAGACTTTTTTTTCGTATTAAATATGAAATTGTTTGTCAGAAAGAATGACAAATCTTGGTTCTCCAGGTTTTGTCGCTTTCACAATAGAACGAGCTCGTCTCTCTCCATTAGTCTTTTATCGACAGATATTTTATTGTTGTTATAAACATCATTGTTGTCAACATCGTCGTCATCTCTCTCTCTCTCTCTTTCTCATCTTTCTCTTTTTCACATTCCATTTCTCTCTGTAATTGACAATGAAAATTTATGTAGCAATTTTGTTTGTTGTGAATCTTTATATTTTTTATACGTATTGTAGCGTCTCAAGTTGGACAGTTTTTGAAGAATAGCGGAATATTGAAATATGTTGAAAAAATATGGACTACTGTAAAGTTGTATTGGTCCGCGGGACACAAAGCAATTAAGGATAGCTCACCAGAATATTACAAAGCTGTTGTAGACTTGTGTACACCATATGTTAAATTAGCCAATGACGTTTATCTTGTAACGAGAAATATTTCTATTAAATTGTACAACAATGCCGCATCGTACGTTGAAAAGAATATTCCCGTGGTTCTGGATACGGTGAGTGCATATAAACACCGACTTTCAAACACACTTCAGACTTCTTACAGGACGCGAACAATCCGTAACAATCTCCTTTTTTTCTTTTTTGTTTTTACACAGATCGAACATTACGCTCCAGGCATCTTGGAAGAGACTAAATCTCGGAGTATTGCGGGACTAGAATTTCTGAAAGTTTCCTTCACTGTGCTCGGAGAAAAAGTTATTGAACATTCCATTACAACGGTACAATGGCTACAGAAGAATGTCTTCGTGTGAGTGTCCTCACAAATTGCACAGAAACTTCATAGAAGAGAATGTCTGATTGTGTGGTTTCTTTTTCTCTCTTTCTTCAGGGGTAAACTGAGCCCGGATAGCATCCGAAGTTACGCCGCATGGGCTTTCGACACCACGCAATCGTACGCCAGTCAGACGTACGACTGGGTGTACGAGAAAGTGCAGACTCTCTCCAAGGCGCCGTGAACGGAAAAAAAAAATAATAATAATAAAAATCCGTCTTTCATCCGCTTGACGAGTGTTTAATTGCGTTGGTATCATCATCCACCTTGCGCGTATCAAGCATTTATTAATTTGTGAAACACGAACGTCGAAGTATTACATGTATTTTCTCGAAGATCACGAATTCGTCGGCCATTTTACCTGTGATATCTCGAATAGAGAATCTGTATCTTGTTTCGGTTGGTCGTGACGAAAACAATCCAGTTACACTTGATATACATGTATACATACACACACACACATATATATACACACGCACACACACACACACACCTACACACAAAAAATATTGCGAACATCTTTTTACCAAGGATGAAGATATATTTGCGTCATTTTTTGTAGAAATCTTTATTATTAAGTAAAAATAATCTTGTGTCTTGTAGCCCGTTCTTTATGTGCACGTGGAACGTCCACATTCGAAAATGACCTCTTAATAGTTTTTGTATTTTTATTTATCAGATTTTGAGAATGTTACTTGGATAGTATATATTCGATTATATTGAATGATCAAATAAATCTACAAAGTTTTTGTAACGGCTTCTTTTGTGTAGATTTAAACGAAAGGAAAATTGCGAGGAGGGAGGGGGTCGCGTAAAAAATTCATTCCAAAGGGATCAGGAGCAATAATACAAGGACAACCGTGATGTGTAGCAATAGCAGAATGGTATTAATAAATATATAATAATGAGAGATGATGAGATAATAATAATAGCGAGACGAAAATGCGATAGATGAACATGATATTATGACGATATACAATATAATAATAATAATAATAATAATAATAATAATAATAATAATATTTTAACAAGAATATATTAAAGTTTTACGTGGGAAGAGAAATCTGTGTGGACAGCAGCCACTTCCATAAAAGCTACATGTGTAAAAATCAGTGTCTTGATTTCCTTCCCTCACTAGGGTTTCGGCAGCGTGTTTCTTTCCTCGGCTTTCCGCTTTTTTTTTTTTTTTTTTTTTTTTTTTTTTGTA